AATTCAAGATCACGGCCTATGAAATTAATCTTCTTGTCCTCCTGTCTGGCGGCCGTCACTCTCTAAGAATTTTGTACCAGCAGACATCGGTTACCGAATGGACTCGACATGCATCCGGATAGGTCACATGTTGCAAAAACCAATCACTCGGACTTGACTATTCCATTTTTAGACTGTCAAGATCATGGAAAACACGTAGAAAGAACAGGGGATATCAATTTGAAAAATCTGGTTTACGTAGATTGCCTGTCCATCCACCTAAGGCTCATTCAGATATACAAAACGAGGAAGCTCCCGCGTTTCAAACTGAAAATATAGACTACTTATATATGAACGCCACGAGTTTGCCGAATGAAGTGGGTAAGTTGATGAACTATGTAATGATAATACCTGAAACGTGGATTTTTTTCTTTAATTACGGATCAGGAACTAGCAATGCATAGTATGTCTTTGTTTTGTAACAAGAGAAAAACAATAACGGAGGTAAAGTGGCCCTGTACCTAAGATCTTATTTGGTAGCACATCAAGTGCACACCCTAAAATTCACCAATCATAATGGATCTGTGTGACGTTTAATAAGATTATCGAACACCTCGAGGTTTCTAGTTGAAGTCATCTTCCGGAAGCTCACTGCTGACGCCGCGTACTACAATTGTACACTAGAGGGATTATCTCCCTCCATTCGTCTCGGATTCACTGATGTTCTGGTTCTAGAAAACTTCAATCTTTCTGAAGTCAACTTCATCGTACAATGGAGACGGCAAATCTAATGAAGCTCGGTTTTTCAACGTCATTAGAGATCTGAGATTATTCTATCGCAGTTATTATTTTGGCATTTATAGTCTAGTTGACGTTTACCTATTATTTTGGGGAAGTATCCCCGATATGCGTTGATTTTAACCTTATTGGGCTGTAATATCCAGTCCTCAGGTAGTCGTTCACCCATTTCTTCAATGTCTTGGTGTAGTTGTCTGAGCCAGTTTATAATGTATGCCTTTCTATTATTGCATGGGTTATCACACCGTCAAAGCCATCAATATTATCTGCAAAACTGAGCTAAGTCATCTTTACGTCAACAAGTATTGGAATTAAAAGTGATTGGATGAGTTAGCTTTACAGGTCAATCTACAGTAGGTGGATTGAGAAGCCTACCCTCAAATTGATGAGGACACTCATTGGGACTTGTTACTGCACATGATCTTATGTCCTACAAAACAGTGCTATAAACGGTCCCAAAATTCTACATGCAACTTACAGTCATCAAGAGTTGCACCATTGGTTCGCTAAGATGCGAAAGGCTTTACTGGGAGGAATGAAAATGAACCAGCAACAACAACACATGTAGGCAATTCAAAAATCACGGAATCAATGAGAAAATGCAAAAGGAAAAGACAGGCTTCAGTGTCAAATGAAGCTAATCGATAAATTTGTCTCCAATCCGAAAAGCTTATTTAGTTATGCAGCCTCTCTCCGAAAAGCCAAGACCTAAGTCCTCTAATTGCTAGGTCCTAATGGCCCAACCAACACTAACGGTGACGTCATCGACCTTCTGGCGGAGCAGTACTTCCGGACAGTTCAACCGGCTTACGCCAACTATGTCGACGAGAGATCCACCTACAACTCAACAGGACTCTCAGGACTGAGTCTGAGTACTGAATTGGTGTATCAGAAGGGTTAACTTCAATTATTGTTAGGACACACGTTAGGCAAGTGGGGTCCACCAGGGTTCAGAACTACGACTTTCTCTAGCAGGCACCGTCTAATTCATTACCTTTTGCTGGCAATGCGAGACTCTTGAGAGACGTTTGCAGACATAGGGATATTTTGACACTTCAGGAGGATCTGACTCGACTTCAAAGTTAAGCAGACAACAACAGACTTTTCCGCAACACTTCAAAGTGTAACGTATTCCATTCGAGGTACAATGTAACTAGGTAACTCCTTTCTTGAGGTATCTCAAGTCGAAAAAGATCTTGTAGTTTTGATTTCTCATGATCTGAAGTCTTACGCCAACTGCGGCAAAAATATCTTTCTGGAAAATCTTGAAATGACAAAGTTGAAGTGCATTTCTGGCCAGTCTGATGGAAGAACTTTTCACCTGATCTCCAACGGTGTTGTCCGATCTCATTTATAGTGTGGAATCATAGTTTTTCTTCCCTCACTCTAAAAGGATAAGGACACACTGGAACGCATTTGATAACGAGCCACGAAATCGGTTCGATGATCCAAATTCAAGTCTTATGAACAGCGCCTCCAACTACTGAATTTTTACCCATTAGAGTTCAGGCGTCTTAGAGGTGACCTTCTAATGACGTATAGCACCCTGAACACTAATGAACATCCCCTTAAACACATACTTAATTTTAATCCTAACACAAACCTTAGGATTAGCACACAGAAACTACAGAAACAGTAAAACAGGACGAACTAAAGGCACACCTTCTACTCCTTAAGAGTAGTTAAATATATGTACTCTCTGCCAATTGAGCTAGTCCAAGCCACTTCCAAAGAGTTCTTAAGGTGAAAACTTGATATATTCTTAAGGACTAAGTACAGTATCTCACTATGATTTGCTAATCTTTCTGTTCTCTTATATTGTTAAGATTACCCAGGTTCTTACCTGGAGGCATCACGAATTCATAACCACCAGATAAGGTAGCCCCTTAAGTGAAAGCTTCTTCCGTTTCATCCAGAACCATTTGAACAATTTATTCAAATATTTTGAACCATTATGTACAATACTATTTAAAACCTACGACTAAGGTGGGAAATTCATTCTCTGGGTCAGTCGTGCAGGTAATTCAATGAGATGGGAGTTGCTTAGTATGTGGGGGTCACCATCGTTCGTTTTTACTGCATTTGCGCTGTATTGTAAGCTAAAAATTACCAACTCCCACAATATATATCTACATATGTCGTTTCCCCAATGTTGGGAGCCTGGGTAATGTTTGAAGTGCATGAGACTTTTTAAACTTGGCAGAAAAAGACATTTCTTTTCCTTAATTATTAACATGTCTGCGTGACAACTGTGAAATTTCTATTTGTTCGACACGTCTTTCTCGGAAATATTTGTGCTTGACAATCTATTTCGAGCTCCCTATTTCGGGAAAGCCGCTATAATAAACTTCAGGGAAATGGCACCAAAACCCCAAAATTTCCCTTTAACCTTGGTGAAGGTCATTTGACTTTGTGGGTTTCCCCAAAATCTGGGATGTAATTAACTGAGTAACTACACTTCTTTTCTTCAAAGTAATACATGGAACTGAAATAGGTTGATTTAGCAGGAGATCAGCGCGTCTTTAAAAACAGCGTAGACCAATCAAGTAGGTATTGTCCAAATGAATAATTCGCTGTTAAAAACTACCCTGCCACCACGATTCATGTCTTTATAAGGTATTCCTACATGTGATGAGAATCAAACTACAAAATAAATCCCAACTCAATTAGTTCAACATCTTATTATTCATCTACGATGTTTACTCCCTGAATAAACTTACCTAATTTATCAAGCAAACGTGACTCCTAGGTTCATTGTTATATTAAGTTCGTTAAACCACCCCCCTTAAAGTGACCTCCCCTGTGATTGGTTTACTGGGATTCGTGGCACCCGAATTCTTCAGACAAAATCTGGGACTTTATTTCATTGTCCTATTAGCACATGATATCAGCTACATAACAAGATCCTTTCAATGCTGATAAAGTAATAAATCCGTAGTGCATGTATTTTGCTTTCAATCACGAAGTCAAGAGCTAAACCTGCGTCATTTGCAGCAACTCAAACAGCAGACTTGCGGTGTCTGCACATCCCGAACTTGGTAGTCGTACACTAGTATCTCATCGGTCATACGCTAGAGATCTTTTGAATGCAGACTATGATGCACGTAGAAATTACATTCTCATCCCCAGGTCATGTCTGCAAAATCTGTAAGTTCATTATAGCTTTCCAAAATAAGAAGACCTTGCAATCAGATTATAGTGGTTGAATGTGGGACTGCTACGTAACTGCTCAAAACTTCCATACAGCTAGTTGTTTCACCGGCCATTTCGAATTGACAGGCATTTGATAAAAAGTGACATTTAAGTACGCAGGAGAGTAGTGGTTTAGCGTACAAACACCAACCCACCAGTAAACCACCACCAGCTACCGAAGTTTACCTGTTCATGAAGTGTCATTATTCATTTCATGCAACAGTTGTAGCTCAGTCTAGTTTAGAGATCTATACACGTCTCCTGAGTCCCGAATTTCAAACTCGTGTTATTTGATTTAATTTAGATCCAATTTAGTTTAAATTCACGTGTACGCAACTATCTCTTCCGGAAGCGTTTATACAGTGTAACCATGAAAGTCATGATTGACAGAAATCTCAAGTGGCTGAATATGCCACTGCCCATTTCTTTTCCAAAGTAGTGGTTTAGTTATCAAAAGCGGTTGACTTCGAGCCACAAGTTAGAGGACCCAAACACCATTATATATAATCCGACTAGAGCAGTATTACACTAAGAGTATAGCCTAAAGCCGAACACACAAACTTGTATCTCATTCCTGGGTCACTAGTTGGGAAGTCTGTTTGTTGTCCTCTTATTTTTGTTTATTTATACTGTGCACACTATTTCATGACTTGATCACAAGTTTTAAGCGGTAGTATTTCATCAAGAAGCGCTACAACCAAACTCCAACGATAAGATTGTGAAAGAAATTAGCAAAACTAGCTGTTTCAGCACCTAATTAAACGAAATATTTGCCATCGGAAATCAGATTCACTCTGATTTAAAAACTAGCAAAGAGTAGAAATAAATAAATAATCCATTACATATAATAGTAAGTTTGATGAGAGATCAATATCCAACTTGTCCCAGACTGGTTGAAAATTTAACACCCACATTGACAGAACAAGTGTACAATCTGGACAGTCTCATCAGCGGTTTAAACACTGGTTATATATATTAATCTGTCAGATTTAGATCACTAACGATGGGTTCTTTTCTAGAAAATCGAAGGGATGGCACATAAACAGACACCAAGAGACTTCTTGAAACTCATAGTCGGGAGACCAGTGGTAGTTAAGCTTAACTCAGGTGCTGATTACAGAGGTAATTTTATATCCATGCAGCTTAAATAGTTTGCAGGTGTTCTAATTTCTCTAGACGGTTATATGAATGTGGTGTTGGAACAGACCGAAGAATACGTTGATGGTCAGCTGAAAAACAAATACGGTGATACGTTCATCCGAGGAAACAACGGTAAGTCATATCAGCATTTCTAAGCCGTTGCAGTTTTTTACATTAGCACACAAAAGCGTTGGTGATGGATATAATTTGTACAGGCCTTTTTTATATGAACAAATCGCGTGCTTAATTCGCAAAATAAATGTGCTTACTCCTGTATATTTACGTTTCCTGAAACCATAGTACGATTCACAAGACGTAGACAACGGAAGGATAATAATTAATAAAAATTTTATTACATAAAAAGCACATCTTGATTATAAATACATCTTTCTGAAAAACAGTTCTAATTACTCCACGTAATTAGGATGCACGACGATGTAAGGATCAGCGGTATCAGCAGATGCATCCAGTCCTGTACCACCAATAGTTATGAGAATATTATCCTGTAAGAAATAGGGAAGTTTCCATTGTTTCATTAACACTAAATGTACGCATGAAGCCAGTTGATTCATTGTTAAAGACACTTGCTAATGAACCTAATTCCTCATAACTCACTAAAACATTGGTGGGATTAACCAGTAGTGCATATCCTTACATAAGACTGTTTTTAAGCACATCCATAACTACATACAAACAGCACAAAATATTGTAAAGTTAACTAATAACACGGTACGTCAGCCACTTCCGCTTAAGTTCCGTAATCCCGTTGCTTACATGAAGAGACGTGACCAAAAGAGCACATGTGTTCTGGTGAGTATATAACACCTTTTAATTGTAATTAACCGACTGTTATTACTATCACAAAACCCCAAATCTATGAAATGCAGGAAATATTTAACGCTCTGCATTGTTTTTGTTCCATGTCAACCAAAACTTACTACAAAACGAATACTGTAGTTGCCTTGGTCAATAACGTATATTGAAGCGAATGTTTCAGTCTTATTTGATAGTCGAGCTATGGGCGAAATGCAGAGGTGAATGTTACATGACTAGGCTACATAATTTCTTATTCATAAGTAAAAAGACACTTTGATGCGTGCTTCATGCCTCACAACTACTAAACATTACATCTTACAGTTCGAATAATTTGTATGTTTTGTAAGTAGCAAGGATTCGATGAAGCCAATATCTGGTTGAATCTATGAAAGTAGGACAGAAATGATTTGACTAAAACCAATAAGACTTATTCCTCTTCATCCAACATGCTTGGTTTCATCAGGGTTCTTAGAAGTCAGACACAGTCGCGACATATCACTTGTTGAATGTTTTAGAAAAAGTAACTTTCGAAATTCTATATTTTGAGCGGTAAGTTGTTTTTGCACAGTTTCACATAGATAGCAGTATGTAGGTCTCCTATTCATTTTACTTTCGGTACAGATAATAAAACAAACCTGTTTGTACTCGAAAGCGGTAAGATAAGCAAGGATTCCAAAACCATCCATAAATGTTCTGCTTACCATCCTCTTAATCCATAAACTCAAAAGGAGCTTCCAATATAATAACGAATATGTGTTTTTGTATTTTTAATATTCTTTTACTTCCGCTATGTGTTGTAGGATTCCTGATACACTTAACTACCCATCGCGGTAACTGATTCATTACTTCAGCGAATAATCGTTGATTAATGTTGCACATTACCATATCAAATAAACGGTGAAATTATCGACATCAATTGTGGGAGATTGAGACTCACCAAGTCTATTCAAAAGTACTGGTACTACGAAAGCGCTGAAATACCAAGTAAAATAGAAGCGACCACCTAGAACAGTGCATTTATATTATATAGCTTGGATGTGTTAGTACCATGGGAATGAGATAATTAGTTCCGAAATTTTAAATAATGAAGCCTAAGATTCTGAAAATCTTTATCTTTGTAGCTCTCAGTGGCCTACATAGTTCGTTTCAAAAGAACCACCATGAATACTTCCAATCTAGGACTCGAAAAGTAAACAAATGCCAAATGTAACGAAAAGTGATGTGTTTATAAGCTTACCTTTTTTATTAGGCGATCGATTATGCGTTCGACAAGAAGCTTGACTTCCGCTAACTGCGCTTCGGTTTCAAATTCATCAACAACTTCTTCTAGATACCAGTTGACTAGTTCACTCCTTTTTGGGGCACCAGGAGTTTGATCAGACTCACTATCTGTTGCTAAGGTCTCACACCAGTTTCGGGCCCTCAAAATTAAAAGACTAGCAATCCGTCTATACTCATCATATGTTACTCGTAAATGTCCAGCGGTTGTATTTGTCTCGGTAGTTGGCTAGTTAAAACAATTAAAAAGTGGAAAAATAAGTGAGAAATTTGATAAGATTTGAAGAACACAATTTTTTTCAAAAATACATACCTGATCAATAACTGGTGTTTCCGAAGCATCTGTCAGTTGATGTTGGTCTTCCTCTTCTAGATTTATATCAGGCTGTTCAACTCGTATTATGGATTTGTTTAAGAGAGCAAAAGCTTCCCGTACATGAGCTTGTGTTACCTGTTATGAAGAACAAAAGACTCTTAATAGAGTACGGTTTACTTGTATAAAAGAAAAATGTTAGTAGCGACAACTAATACATTGGTGTTAGGAAGACGCGAGGAAAGATCATGAAACCTGGAGTTATTAAACGATCTGTTTGGGATGTTTTTTTATAGACTTGATTTTGCGCTATTGCTTGATCTAATAACAGTTTCCCTAACCTACTGTGGATAAATCAGTTAACTATAATTGCCTTGTTTAGCTTTGCGCCAAAACGCCTAGTAATGTACATATTGTTAGTTAAAACCTGTTATTTTAAATATACGATCACATGGCATGATTCAAGAAAATACAACGTACTTATAACCATTCCTCCAGTGTTCCGATTTGCGGGCTGAAAAATTAGTTCCGGCTTAAGATTGTCTACTGTTTCAAACATAGCTACTATATCCATGGAATAATTGCTATTGACACAAGTAGTCACGAAAAGAAAGTAAACCGAACTAGATGCTTTGAATAAAATCTCTTATCAATCAGAACTTTCCATATATTATGGACCACTTCAAGTAGTATTTTGTATGACAACGATGACTATTGAATATTTACATATCAGATTTTTCATAACTTATACAATTTCCAGTCCCCTAAGACAACACACTGACGATTACGTTGGTACAAACATTCAGTTGAACGCGCTAAAATGTGGCATGAATGTGAGGACCGTACACAACTGTGTGCCCTAAACAAGTAATGTCTGATAGGAGTGATGAACTCGGAACATAAGTAACGTCACTAGTTGTAAATCGGCAAGAGTGACCTAAAATATACTGTAAGGTTTGATACAATAAAAATCAGTCATTTGGCGATATCGGTTGATTTACGCCTTTAAAGGTAAGATTAAAATTTCGAATCAAGGGTTTACATAAACGAGCGTGCATATGGAACGAAATTTAAAGTTGACATTACGTTAATACACCACAACTCGAACAATAAAGAACTGGATAAGTCATTTTGAGTTGAATACGTAAAATTTAGGAAATAAAAATCTTACGGTATCTGCACAGTGTAGTCGTGCTGTTGCTTCTGAAAGACGAACAAGACTTTCCAGCTGTCTAACAGTGATGCGCCATGCAGACTTTGTCCCACTGGAAGCATCTCTCTGACGCATTTTTTTGTACTCTTCAACCATGCATTCCATAGCTTCCCCGCTTATCTGATGGTATAAAATGCAGTTAGAAAAATATGATTCCACACCACTAGGTAATCTCAAATGAATAACAAGACAACTATATTTCCTACGGCATATGGTAAATTGACCAGTAAATAGTTTAATATTTATACCATAATAATTCTTCTGCAAAACAGCACAGAACACACTGATACTACATGAAGCTGGCTATGATAAAAACATAAATATTTGACCAGGAAACAAACGCAACTCAGTAATCAAGTATCTGTTCATCCGTGAGTTACACTTACTCTGTAAAGGTTATAAGTACTATTAGGATGTTCAAGCGCCCAGTAGGGGTTCTTCACTATTTAATATTCCTTACCATCATCTGCCCGCAAATGCCCTGGTACGGCCGAGAGTGGGGAAAGTCCGCTCTCCTTCTCGAAATGCTCTCATATGGCCACGCGTATATAGCCTCTGCCAGTGAAGTCCTACTCACTGCCTTCTCGTGGCGGGGGTGTTATTTACAAAAATGAGAGGACGAAAAGCGAATGTCCGGCGCTTTAACCGGATCCCAAACTGATGGTGCACATGGGCTCCAGTATCCTGCGGGAACAAATGGCGTATGAACCAATCGTTGGTCACCGGCTACCATGGGACTGCATCTCCTTACGATGCTCCACTGCCTTGTGGGTCAGACCTCTAGGTCAAAGGCTCGGGGAATGGCCCCCTAAGAAAACCACCTGCTTCGGTTTGGGCACCCGGGCAGTATCACAGCCCTCGCACATATCGAATAAGATTTGTGTGGCGCATATGTACTTGGTGCCTTCTTGTACCAATATCTATGTGTTAAAATAAATAATTAATAAAATACCATCATCTACACAATTACTATTTCGAATATTTTGGTATTTTTGTTACTTTCATTTCGAGATGCTGATACCGAATAATTTGTCTACATATAAACACTTAGGATGTGTATTTGTGGCAAGCTTTATACTCGGTAAGACTGAATATTATGATTAGATCCCTATGATCTTTCTGTCGGTCTTTGAAGAAAGCTAGGGAACAAACTATAAACACCATTGAAATACTTATCTTGATGGCAAAGTTTAGTAAATACTGAAGTAATGTGAAAAAAATTATTCCATACTTTTGGTTTAAAACAACGAGCAAAAGCGATGTAGCGACGAATGTTGTCAACTGAATAGATGGTGTGAGTATCTTCTGCGCCATGTCTCCCCATATGCAAATCTACAATTGAACGAGCGATAGCATAATCCACGATCTGGAAAAAAAAGTAATGAGCAGGAACGTAACAGTCAAACAAATACATTGCACAAAATTAGCATAGTTCGTTTGGTAATTTGTCAGACATATCTCAGTGTATCCTGTGAGAAGTTAGGGTATTGAATAGATTAGTGCATGAGGAGATCGGTATTATATTAATTAAAGTCTTTAGAATTTCCTCCGAAATGTCGTTCAAAATTACTATGAGAACTACTGGAGCAGGTTTTCGTAAATAAGTCGCTGTTAAATAGCTCATTACCATTTACAAAATGTGACGCGATACCACTTACTTTACGTCAATCACGAGAACGT